AACTCAGCAAGGGTGCTTTTCTGTTCCTCCATACGAGCCGCCCCAACTTCCACAAGGTGAATCTGTAAAAAGTGAAGTAAGTGAGGATTGGAGTATTTGGTCTGCTTCAAGATGTTTTTCATGAGCGTACCCCTGCCAGGGCCTAATTCAATTAAATGAAAAGCCCTGGGTGTCCCCATTTTCTGCCAGGCATCCATGATCCAAGCAGAAATTACATCGGCAAAGAATGGTATCTCGGCTGCCGTAATAAAATCAGCCTTTTCGCTACCAATAACATGCTTTTTTGCGGTGTAATATCCGTGTTGTGGGTGAGTCAGGCATTCTTTTACAAACTGTGACATCGGGAAGTAGCCCTGTGAAGACATTTTGCTAATTAATTCGATGCAAAGCGGTGTCTTTAGCTCCTTTCGATTCTTTGAATTAACGGTAGATCGTTCTGGTGTAGATATTTCGCTCGCATGAAGTGTGGCATGCGTTATTCTCGTGCAACGAAAAAAACGAAAAAAACTTTTTTGAAGCATTTGATTTTTATTTCCTCAAGCAAACTATCTTTTTTTTTTTTTTTTTTTTTTTTTTGTGTGTGTGTGTGTGCCTGCCAGTGTTTATATGTGGAGAAAAAGAAATTGATAAATGACGTTCTCTATGTTGCAGCGTTGGCAGCAGTGTTATTTAGCGACACCCCACCGCACTTACCCACAGGCGAAAAGCAACAACAACAAAAAAAGAGTCTCTCCGCGACGGCTGCTCGATCAGCAGAAGGAAGAAGCCAAAAAATTAAAAAATGGGAACAACAAGCTAGCAAATACATCAACAGTTTTTGTGACTTGAACACGACAACACACATACAAAAAAAAAAACTTAACCACAAACACCAAACATGAAAGCCACATATTGTCTGCAAACGAGCGGCCTCTCCGCGCCACCCTCGAATAAACGACGTCCAAAGAACCTCACAGCAAGACACACCCCAAGACAGCGCGAATGTTATCGCATTGTCGTGTTGCTTTTGTTTCGAGCGCGAAGTTGGAACAAAACAAGGCGAAAAGAAAATACAATGGAAATCACGGGAACAAAAAAACTTTGAGGACTGCAGGGATTGAACCTGCGACCCCTGGATTTGGAATCCAATGCTCTACCACTGAGCTAAGCCCCCGCCGAAGTTGCCTTTTTACCAAAAACTAGAGCTAATTATTCTGAAAACACAATGAACAAAAACCCTTCACAATTCGGATTTGAACCAAGAACCCTGTCATGGAACAAAACAGCAACTCCACGAAACACGTCCAAAAAAAAAAAAAAAAAAAGAACACGACTTTGTCTCATCGGGAGCTTGTGAGGAGGATGCTCATGAGGTAGGCTGGCGTCCCTAATGTATATGTGTCCTGGTAAAACGGAGATATTTCTTCACAATCCTTTTCTATTTTGTGAATCTTTGGTTGACCGCGATTGAGGGAATCAGGGAACTGTTAGCGTCCAGACGCTTTGTAATTATTTTAGTTTTCACAGCCACTCGGGATCCGTGCAAGCTGACTGAAGGAAATGGCAGTGTTTTCTTTTACACGGCGACGGGGAGGAGCGACATTGGTGCCCGCATGCTGGACTTGGCACGCCAGCATGGCGATGTACGGGTGCAGCTCGCCTTCGTTGATGAACACGGGCCATTGGATGCGGTGGTAGCCGCCGCCGCAACAATGACAGGCTTACGCTTGGTTTCAGGAAACATCGCCATGCACTGGGAGGAGTCGACCGTTGCGGGGCACTTTGCGAATCGCCGGGCGCCTCAAGTACCTAATCTCGAGGTTCGAGTGCTGCTGCCCATCGTGTGTGTGCTGCCCGGGAGTTGGGGGTCCAGCAGGGGCTGATCATTGCTGGAGGGCAGAGACTGAGCACCGAATACGCCAGCGCCCTCGCGGACGTTGCGGATCGGAGTGCTCAGCTTTACTCTCAGGTGGAAGAGGCGCATAATTACCTGTCGGCACGCGGATCTCAGATTGCGGTGGCCAGCGGTTTTCTTGCGGGACGCGGAGACGCCGTGTCAACGCGAGGCGTCCACCTCTCGGAGAGGGCCACCAGATGGCGTAAACACACAGCCGCACCAACGGCATCGTTTGATGGCTGGGGGCGTGCCAGCATCCACGTTTCCCCAACGCAATCTCACGGGAGAGAGGCGGCGGGCCAACACCCATACGTCTCAGGGCAATTTTGGGCGACCACATCTCCCTCACTCGATGCCTTTGCCCTCCCGCACCTTCCCCTTCGAAGATGACTCCGGTGCAGAGGATCAGGTACTGCATTTCCCTGCATTGGACGTTGACACTTGGGCCCCGTGTGTATGGAATGACGTCATCTCCGGAGTCCTCGTCGACCTCCGATGCGCATACGGTTATATATTTGCACTAAGTGGACTCTCAGGTTCAAATGGCCATCGATGGTTTGGTGTCGTGCAGACGCGCACTGGAGATAGATCGGGAGCCCACCGATCAGTTCATGGATTTTGGCAGGGCCCTACCGCAGACCTTTCGGACGCAGATCGCGATAACAACCGACCCCAGCATATCCCGCCCTCCACACTTCGTGCCCGCCTTCACATGGCCGTTCACGAGGCTGACGAACACGCGAGGGCGACCCAGCCTCTTGTGGAGCGGCGCGTAACCCAACAAAAACAACGATTGTCGCGAAGTCAGTTGTGTCGTATTTATGGACACGACGCATCTACACGCAACGTGCGCAGCGCAGCCTGTAGGGATTACTCGCAGCGCACTCGGCCATTAAAAAACGGCGAGGGGCTGCCGGCTGCTTACGAGAGCGGACGAAAACAGCCCCATCCATCCACCACCTCCCACCATTACGCACAGGCGTCGCACCGTACCGCAGACACTTCATCCGATATTTCTAATCGCCCGACGCAATCGTCGAGAAGGGCAATGGAGCTTATCCGCCAACGACGCTTGACTATGGTACGACGAATCACCGACATCCCCGCCTTGGACAGGCTATATGAGGAGAGCGAACGAGGTCGTTCGAGAGATGTGTGCGCCGTCAACGTGGAAGCAGAGAATGTTTCTAGCGGGCAATTTACAGCCTTTTGCTGCACGCACAAACGGCCGATCAACGCGGAGAGTTGTGCGGCCTTTTTGGCGGCCATATTAGATGTGGCGACATCGACCCGACGGCAGCACGCCAGGATGCTGCGGTCCATGTTGCAAATGGATTGAACCCCGCTGGACGTGGCGATTCTGGGGCTACAAAAAATTGCGGCGCGATAAGAGGCGAGGCAGGCGCGCCCCTTGACAGAGGAAGGGATGAATCAAGTTATCCGCAGCCGGACAGACCGGAAGCAACGTGTTGTTTTTCGACTTGCGTGGATAACGGCGAGCTGTTGGCCCGAGATTGCGGCCTTAACTCCCAACAATTTCACAATGGAGGCGGACGGGGCCATAATTTTGGATTGGTCCGTGGCGCCGAGGACGGCGAAAGCGGATCCCCACCGCGCCTTTCGGTCCGTCAGGATACGAGGGCAGGAGGACGTGCTTGACACCATAAAGTTATGCAGGACACTTCGACGCAACGAGAAACTCACGAATCTGACGGCTGCCCACGTGGAGCGAGCTCTGGCTCCTTGGAATGCCACGGCGCATTCCACAAAACGAGGAGCGTTGAGGCACGCTGCTCCAATCGTGGAGACATACAATTGGATCCACACGTGATCTCGCAGTTGGCGGTGCACGTCGATCCGTTCGACCTTCCCCAGAACACAGTTTGATATTTGAGGAGGTACACCGCAATGCTGACCCAGGTGTTGCCGCCGGTCGCATTGATGTGAAGGGAGAAACCGCGCAAGGGCAGGAACCCTGGTTGTGAGCGGAGGAGTGTTTTTCCATGATTTTTGGTATCATGCTGCTACAATAACAAGACGCGCGCCAAGGAAGCGCCTCTGGCCACTCCACAAGAGGAACGAACCATCCCGCTACAAAAAGTTAATGCGCCCGTATTGAACCTGGAGTGGATCCAGAGCCGGTTGAACCCGGCGACCTTGGAGAGACCCATGCAAGTATGTGGGCACGTCGGGCGGTCCCCTTTACCTTTATCCTCCTCCGGTAACGCGCGCCAAAGCTCACGGAGGATTCCAGTCGCTGAAGCGCGATTAATGAAGGAAGCGGGAATTATCGAGGACGCTTCTTCCACAGTAACAAGCGGCGGATGGATGATGCCCTTTTCTGTGGTGGAGGAGAAAACCACCGGTTCACGACGAGGATGGATCGCGTGGCCACGCGACGAGAAGAGAGACGACCCTTACGAGGCTCATGTTCCTCTTTTACACATTTCCCATTATTTGTCACCTGTGATGACTGAGGCCGCTTCCTGCGTGGAATTAAAAGCATCCTTTTTTCGGTCTTTGTTGCTGCGGGGACTCGGCATCTCTTTTGATGTCGCGTGGAGGACGGCACGCTGGTGGAGCTGACACGGCTCCCAATGGGATACAAGGCCAGCCCAGAAATTCTCCAGATTATTATTACTTCGGCAATTGCGGGGGTGACGACGGTGGTTCACTTTCTCCGAGCTGCACCTCCATTGGTGCGTATCGACATATGGATCGATGATATACGCATTGCAGGGTCGAAGAGCGATGCGACATTGTGGGAAGTCCAAGTGCTTCGTAATGCGGATGGCCGTCACGCCACGATGGGGGAGGATTGCGAATTGGGCGCCACGCAGTACACCTTCCTGTGGGTGCGGTTTGGTCACTCACATCAGGCGGTGTCCCTGAGTGACAAGTTTGTCCGGTGTGTATGCGCCATGCCGTTGCTGAAGTATTTAACAATCTCGGAAATGGAGGTTGTGGCGTCACGGTTTTTGTACGCGGCTGCCATTTTGGGCACGCGTTTATGTGACTACCACTTTTTCATCAAGGCAGTGCGACGACGATTATCGGCAGTTAACCGGGGGATTGTGCAGGAGAAATCCCCGGCGAACCTTTTGCCGTCAGCGTTTGGTTTGGGCGAGAGATTGCAACACATCATCGAGAATAATCATAGGCGAATCATCAAGCCCACGGAAAAGGCATCGGCCGTCATCATCACGGATGCATCGCTCCGTGGATGGGGAGCCGTTTTCATTCCATACACCGGTGACGTTAAAATTGCCGGAGGGAAATGGAAGAGGAAGCCTTTTCTTATCATGCAGGCGGAGGCACGCGCGGTACGCTTAGCCTTATCGGCTTTTTCCGCCTTCTTGTTGCCAACCATGGACGTTTGGGTGGACAACACTTCGCTGCAAGGAGCGGCGAATAAAGGCAGCTCAAAATCACAGACCATGACGTGGGAGCTGCGGCGGATATATGAGTTTTTGGACTCTCACGGATTAAAGGCATCCTCTACCTACGTGCGGTCTGCAGAAAAACCCGCACACGGCATATCGCGCGGTCGTGTTTTTACGCTTCAGGACTTGGCGAAGGGGTGGAACTTGCGAAGGGCAGCGGCGGGGTCTTTTGGCTGGAGGACCCCAAAGTCTGCCACTTCTT